GGGGGGGGGGGGGGGCGACTGTTTTTTAAGAAGGCTGATATGTGTAGTCCTTGACTTACAACCATTTGTTTAATGACCATTCAAAGTTACTGAAAAATGGGATTTATGACCAATAAATCAACAATTGAATCAACCAATAAACCAACAATTGCAGCATTCCCATGCGCACAAGATCAAAATTTGGTTGCTTGGCAACAGGCATATATTTATATTTACAGCATCACGGGTCATATGATCACCATTTGCAACCTTCCAGCCCACTTCTGACAAGCAAAGTCAATTAGGGAAACCAGGTTTGCTTAACATCCACATGATTCACTTAACCATTGTGGCAAAAAAAGATGCGAAAAGTGGACCAGACTCATTTAACAACTGCTTTGTTTAACAACAGAAATGTAGAGGACTACCCGCAATATGGGTCCATGCTCACTGAAGCTTGCTGAGAATTAGGACAATCCCCCAGGTTGAGAAATGAGTTCTCTTGTGGTAAGAAGGGTGGTCAATACATTTAATAAAATAAAAAGAAATTTAAAAATACACTCAAGATGGCAGCTATAATTACAGATCACAGCTTCTTCTTTTTTTTTAAATGAGCAGAGCTTTCAATGCATAGCCATGGCTTCAATCATCACTTTTTTGCAGTAACATTTGTATCCATCCCTTGGGAGAATCTGTGTGTCCTTAAACAGTAAATCTAAAGGAATCCTTAAAGAAGTGTTTCTAAATTCAGCTATGGTATTTCTGTCCAGGTAACTGGATATCAAAAGCTTCAAATGACTCAAGAAACTTAATATTATATAGGCACTCTAAATATCTAGAATTCTATTGAAAGAGGGGGTCCTTTATTAAAATAGGAATTAGCTAAGGTTTTTTTGTTTTTTTAATGAGTTGGTCTCTCTCTTTGGTGGTCTTTTGCTATTAAATACAGGCTTTCTCTCTAAGGAAATCAATAGTAAAGAGCTGGATGTAAGAGGCAATTTTGTCTTATTGAAGGTACTTGAAGTTAAAGCTTATGATCCCATTATGTACTTGCTAGAAACTGAATATTCAGAAATGAATCAAGTTTTAAAATCCAGGCAGAGTTGTCCGAGTGTCATTTTCCATACTTTTCCTTCAAAAATTTTTTTTAAAAAAAAGAGGATTGAGGTATTTTTCTTTCCCAATCCCTGCTTTGATTTCCTTCGGCTGTTTTCCTAACTTTTTGGAAACTCTCAATGCTGAACTGGCTGACACTGCCCTTTGTGACTTTTTTTTTTTAGAATCTCAACAGTTGTCTGGCTCAGGATGTTGCTATTTCACTTCCTGCTAAGAGGGCCAAAGCTGCAGCTGATCCAGGAACTTAATTCTTCTGTTTTGTTTCAGTGGGTTGGGAGGAGATATATGGGACTTAAATCGGATTAAGAATTTGCTTTGAAGAGAAGATAGGGGCTTTTGCACTGCAAGCTAGCAAGCAGCAAAGATGGGCAAACCAATCTATTGGCAGCAGCCCCTATAGGTAGTCCTCGACTTATGACCACAATTCAGCCCAAAATTTATGTTGATAAGTGGGACATTCATTGTGAGTTTTGCCCCATTTTACAACCTTTCACTGTTAAGTGAATCACTGAAGTTGTTAAGTTAGTAGCAAGGTTGTTAAGTGAATCTGGCTTCCCCATTGATTTTGCTTGTGAGAAGGTTGCAAAAAGTGATCACATGACCCCAGGACACTGCAACCATCCTAAATATGTACCAGTTACCAAACTCCTGAATTTTGATCACATGACCACGGGGATGCCACAAGGGTTGTAAGTATGAAAAAGGGTTATAAGTCACTTTTTTTAGTGCTGTTGTAACTTATAAATGGTCACTAAATGAGCTTGTAACTTGAGAACTGTAATTACTTCTTGGATATTTTCTTGGCATCCTGACAGAAGTATATTCCTTCATGTATCACATAATCAGGGAGACTAATCAGAAAAAAATGTCTGGGTTCACACATGCCTTACTAGACTGTGTAAAGACCTAGTGGCTAACTAAATACAACATGTTTTGATTTGGTGGTTTTTAACCACAGTTTTGTCTTTTCTGGCATTGCCTATTGATTCTGCTCAGTTGGTGGTTCTTGCGTTGTGCAAGCTTGAAAACCACCATAGAAATGTTTTCACTCGGATCCTCTCTCCATTGGTCTTTATACAGTCCTTTGGAGACCACAGCAGGCTGGTTGTAAGCTCTATGAAGTCTGCATGAGCTCTGATGTTAACTAAATGTTCACAAAGACACAATCCAGGGCTGTTGCACATTAAGAGAATTCTCATTCAGCTAACTTTCATTTTAGGTCTGGATCATCTTGCAATGGTATTCTGTAGCAATTTGAACAGTTAGGTGTCTTTCCCCATTTTCCAACTTTTCTTACCCCAGTTTTTAGATTATATTAGCAGAGTTGGAAGGGACCTTGTAGGTCATCTAGTCCAACCCAACATCAAAGCAGGAGACCCTAGAATATTTCTGACAAATGGCAGTCCAATCTCTTCTTGAAAGCCTCCAGTGATGAAGCTCCCACAACTTCCAAAGGCAAGCTGTTCTATTGGTTGATTGTTCTCACTGTCAAAATTTTCTCCTTATTTCTAGGTTTCTAGAATCTCTCCTTAATCAGCTTCCATCCATTGTTTCTTGCCTGGCTTTCAGTTGCTTTGACACCCCCTCAAATATTGGAAGGCTGCTATCCTGTCTCCC